ACATGCCTACTGGAATAATAAACACGTGTGCAAAATTTTAGCCTTATATCTCAATTCATTCGAAAGGTAGCTTGATTAAAACAGACAGACGGAGAGACAGACAGACAGACGGACATGACTAAATCGTCTTGGAATTTTACGCTGATCAAGAATATATATACTTTGTTGAGTCTAAGATCATTATTTCGATGAGTTACAAACGGAATGACAAAATGAATATACCCTCCATAATAAGGTGGAGGTTATAAAAAAATTGATGGGAAAAATTTCAATAGATGTTCACCTACCATCGGTTTTAGATATTTTGAATAGCCTGATCTTATGTTTCCTATGTATATGATATAGAATATCTACATTTTCCATTCAAATTAGCTGTAATTTGGAATTTGTATTCCCAACGTTTAGAATAACGTGCTGCGTGGTATTTAGTTTTGTCTACCTCATAATTTGGGGCAGAATGATTTCAGAACAGTCAAAGATAATTACTCTTTTACACCCATCACTTTAAGATGGGAATTAATTTTTCTTTCATTTAAATTGTGCGTTGGAGACCCTATTAAGTCCATATTTTCCATTATAGCTTAGTTCAACGATGATTAAATAATTGTTCGGTCCCGCGCTACTTTCTAATATTCAAAATTTTTTCATGTCTTTGCCACAATTTCCGACTGAAAGAGTCCGAGTTTGACATTTAGGTGTTGATTTCATAAAGACATGAATATTCTCATGGGTGTTACAAATTCTATAGAACATACATTTTCTTTTCAGACCACACATTGGTTGGGAAAGTGGACTTGGGGGTACACTAATGTGTGGACAATACAGGGTGATATAAAAAGACAGCAACAAAGTCAAACAACATAATTTTACCCCACACCACAAGGTGGTCAGGGTATTACGTATTTGTGCATTTGTTTGTAACAGGCAAAAGGAAACGAGATAGACCCATAGTTCATTTTGATGATCTGCATAGAATCACATTCTCAGTCGATTTATGCATGTCCGTACAGTTCGCAATTATAGTCCTATTCAGATGAAATTTTGCACAAATCATTTGTTTGGCCCAAGGACGAACCGTATTGAAATTGGAAATAATCGGTCAAAATTTAGATATAGCTCCCATATATATCTTCGTCCGATTTGCTTTTTATTGTGCACCAAACGTGTAATATCAGCCCGAATAGTATGGAATTTTGCACATACAACCAAATTGGGCCTGGAAATAAGTATGCAAAATTTGATCGAAATCGGTTCAGATATAGCTATAGCTCCCATATATACTGTTCATCCGATTTGTTATTTTTGTCCTTCGCTGCCATAATATGCACTCTGTTACAACAATATTTGGGGAAATATATCAAATGCAGCTCAGAAATAACTTTGCTAAATTTTATCGAGATCGGTTCAGATTTGGATATAGCTCCCATATGTATCTTCATCCGATTTCAAATTAATTGTGCACCAAATGGGTAATACAAGTCCGAATTTAAAAGATACAAATGCTTCGGCATATTTAGTCCTTTGAACTTTAAATTATAATTCTAATCATAGCGTTTTTGATTGAATTCTCCCATAAAAACTTTTAATTTTTATGCGGAGCTCTAAAAATTTAGCAAAGTGGTGTATCATAGAGTCGGCCCCGCCCGACTTTAAGACTTTCTTTACTAGTTTTAAGATTGTAACAGAATTTTTAACGGATTTTATTTATTTTATTTTTTATTTATTTATTTTTTTTTTATTTATTTATGTTTTTTTTTTTTTTTTTTTTTTTTTTTTGAAAAATGCTAAATTCATTCCAAATGGTTGATGGTATTAAAATTTCGGCGCCGCCGAACTTACAGCTTTTTTACTTGTTTATATATAGACCAGCAAGTGCCCGCTACTTGGACGGGGAAATGTCCAGTTCTTGTTAGCCTTTGTGGACCCAAAATTTTCAATTTCTTAAGTTTGACAACATTTTTTTTATAAAATTCATGCATCGAATTTCAAAAATTAAATAGTTCTACTTACACGATTTTATTTTTTATGTAGGTAGTACTTTATTATAGCTTCCGTATAAGCAATTTTTAAGATATCTTTGATATTGTATTTTTTCAGTTTTATATTCAAACGCATAATACGCATATCTGAGAAACAAAGGCCGCCTTGACTTTACATTCTCACATTCCCCACTTCTATTATTTGCCTCATTTCAACCACTGTGCACTTCTGTCATTGTAATGAACTGTGATATTGTCATTTTTATATTTGTACCCCTCAACATTTGTGATAACTTCGTAAATGCTGTCACATTTTGGGTTCATTGCTATAAAGAGACAGCAGCAACGAAAAAAATTCCCAAACTATTCACATTAAACAAAATCCTTGATGTAGAAAAACAACACTTAAAGGTTTCTATTCTGCTTCATTGATTTAACCGGAATTCTTCGTAGCTGTCCGTCTGTCTGTCCCTTTGCGTTTTATGGCAATTTGCGTGTGTTCTTCGCATTCAAATTAAGTTTGATTGTTTTTCTATGAAGGCATTGGAGAAAAGGATGCCAGTCAGTATAAATATATAAAAGAGGAGCCGAAGAAGAGAATTGAAAAGAATGTGTAAATAGTCATAGAGATTCCATGACCGAAAGCAAAAGTTTCTTAATGGTTGGCTGGACTGTGCAAGAATTTCCAATAAAAAAAGAAAAAAAAAAATACGACACCAGCAACAACAACAATGAATGGCAAAATGTTGGATTTCAGTTAATGCCACAAAAGTTTTCTTCCTTTAAGTTTTTATAAGCAAATCCGTTCTATACATTTCCTTTAAGTTTGAGACATAAATAAGGACATGAACACAAAATCCGTTAGTCCATACGAATAGTGTTAAATGGACTTAAAGTTCGTTTTCGTAAAGAAATGTTGCTAAGTGGATGAAGTCATTAGTTTCTGGCGTAAAGGAATTTAAAAAAGTGACCATCAAAATTCAGACATTAATTTTGTTTTAAGACTTTATCCGGAGGAATATTTTGGAATGTAAACAGTATGCGGATATGAGAAGTTTGTATAGAAATTCGTTTTTGATGTATTGAGGGATATTTTTATACTCTACAATACTATGTGTTGGGGGTATTATAAGTTTGATTGGACCTAAAATTATGTAACACCTCGAAATATTTGTTTTTCCATATAGGAAAGTATATATGGATCTTCCTATCACGCCGGGCTGATTTGATCTAGCTATGTATGTCCGTCTGTCTATGTTAATTTGTAATCACTCTACAGGTCGCAATAATGCTCCGATCTTCACGAAATTTAGTGGGGCTAGAGCCAGAATAGAAGCCTATTGCTTTTGGAGATGATCGCATAATATCTAGTGCTTGAAAAGGACCAAAAAATTTTCCTGATTTTGCAGTTGTTCTACAAGTCGCAATTATAGAGCTGGGGAAAAGCCTTCAAATTTTGGTGGTCATCGTGTAATATTTCATGGGTGAAATAGACCATTTGTGTTAAATAAGAGTAAAATTTTCCATTAACAGGTCAATTCTGACCGTTACGTAGATGCCGATAGTAAAAATATCGGATATATATAGCGAAATATATAAAATGTATATATACAAAGGAAGGGAATGTTAGCTAGAATGCTTATATCTCAAGAATAGGTGAACCGAATTTGAAAAATTTTGTCAATTCAGAATTCCCTGTTTGCATAAAAGTATCAAATCTAAAAAAATCGCATAAACTGTTGCCAATAATGATATTAATATAGATTATGTAGTATTTTGTGACATTTTTTTTCATATTTTTTATCGCATGCGATTGTTTCAATTTGACTTATAATATTGAAGTGTATATATTGTAATATTTTTGCACCTTACAATACGGGTTGGGGTTAATATATGCAGAGTGCAATTATCGTCCGATCCTCATGAAAATTTTCACAAGGGTAGGGTTAGGCTCAGAAGGGCTAAGCCACACACAACATATTTAGGGGTTCAAATGAACCAAAAACTGAAAAAATTTATTGTGTGATCAGGAAATTTTTTCAGTTCTTGGTTCATTTGAACCCCCAAATATGTTGCGATCATCTCCAAATGCAAGAGGCCCCTCTGTATTTCTAAATTTAGATTTAGATGATTTGCTGGTCTATGATATTTGGCTATATTCGTCAACGAATTTCAATCGACTCGCCTGAGAAGAAAGTTAAGAACAGGAAAGAATTCTTGCATTTTGGATGACCATTGGATTATATTTAGCTGTAAAATGGACCACAACAACTAACAGCACGACGGAGTGCGTAAATATTGGTAAAAAAGCTAAGGGTAATAATGGGGCAGTGCTTCGTGACATAATTTCAAAAGCGAAATCTTCCAAAATGGATTTGGACATAAGGGGACTTCTAACAAATTGTAGTCTTGTAGGGTATCACATGGTCGGCTCCGCACATCAATAGCCTTTGCTTACTTGTTTAATATAATCCTTATGGAAGTGATATCATGCACTCTATAGGTATAAAAGATCAAATCAAATGTCCCCGTCAATTTTGGTGAAAATAGATTTGGATATGCCTCCCATATATTAGTTCCCTCTGAAACCAAATTATGACTGCTTTAAAGGCAAAGGTTGATAGGTGATGATGATCTACTTCAAATAAATTCTTTTGCTGCGGCAGCCGCCCGACTTTTGACTTTCCCTTACTTGTTTGTCAATTATTAACGATTGGACACATTTCATCTAAAGTGAACAAAAATCTTTTTTCGTACCTTGTGAATATGCTATGAATGGGCTCACAAGTTCACACTTTTAAAAAATGAAATATTGAGAATTCAATAACTGTCGGTTTATTGGAACTCTCTTGATAAGCTCGTGTTCCCGCTGTTGGTAATGATAGCATTTTAAGAGGCATTAATCGTTTATTTGCAGAGAGAATTTTTAATTTGTTGATAAGAGAAATCGGAAATTTTGTTTAGCTTATCACAAATTTCAATATTTTCATGGGGTTCATAGCACTTATCAGATTATATTCAATTCTAGAGATTAGAAAATGTTTAGAAAGCAAATGTCTGTTTGTTTACACAACATAGTCCGTCCATTCATTCATTGTACGTTGATTTGGGGTCAGATTGACGCGAGGAGATTTTAAATACTCAAAAAATAAATTATGGTAAATTATGGTTATTGATTTTCAAAAATTTCAAATTAATTCAACTTATTTGTTTTCAGTACGAGGAAATAAAAATACCCCACAAAGGTGGCTACATTGCCGGTTGTTGGTATGGAAATCGCCAGGAGCGTCCACTACTGGCACTACACGGTTGGCAAGACAATGCCGGCAGTTTCGCCCTACTGGCACCCATACTAAGTCGTTATGTACCTGTACTGGCAATCGATTTCCCGGGACATGGAAAATCTAGTCACAATCCGCCTGGTATACTTTATCACTCTTTGGACTATGTACGCGCCATAAGGGCGATAATGCTGTACTTTAAGTGGCCGAAAATATCTTTGATGGGACACTCCATGGGTGCGGCAGTATCATTTCATTTCTCCTCCTTATTTCCCCATCTGGTCGATTTGTTAATTAGCATTGACATTCTACACACACGCTATCATCCCCTCTCGGGCCAAATTTACTTTTTCCGCTACTCAATGGATAAATTTCTTGCGGAGACCGAACGTAAACTGAAAGGAGATAATCAAAAGAAACCTCTATACACATTCGAGCAATTACAAGAACTATTATATGAAGCTTCAGAGAAATCCATTGATATAGATAAAACCAAATATATTCTAGAAAGAAACACGACATGGAATTCTGAGAAGAATATGTTCTGTTTCTCACGCGATGGCTCAATAAAGCTGCTGCAAGAATACAACACCGACCCCGGACTTTGTATGGCGATGAGCAAGAATTTGACACAAATCAATTGGCTGGTAATAAAGGGAGGTGATTCCTATCACATCGATGAACAAGCCACAGTGACTAAAGCCATTAAGCAGTGGCACGAACAAAACAATCCCAATTTTGTGTTTCACGTTCTACCGGGACTTACGCATCACTGTCATTTAAATAATCCCAATGAGGTGGCGGAATGCATTCTACCATTTTTGGCTAAATATAGGAGCCATGATGCCACGATTGCAGAGAGTAAATTATGAATTAAAAAATAATTAGAAAAAACAAAAATGACTTTGAGGGTATAAAAGTCGGCCATATGATACGTTACAGCACTTCGAACACAGTCAAATGAAATTAATTCTAAACAAGTAAGCAAAGGCTACAGTCGAGCGGGGCCGACCGTTGAATACCCTACAACACTACAATAAACGATACAGTGTATATAGGCGAGATACTCGAAAGAATTCCACAAGATATTGTGACAAATAATAAAAGAAAACCATCAGGTTTCGTTCTCTAATTTTCGAATAATAGCAACTTTAACTAATTTGCTCATTTCCAATTTATTTGTAGATGTTGCACGTAAATGGTCTTCCTAGATCTGAAACCAATATTTCCCAAAGACCTATAATCTCTCAGAAGTGGCAAAAGATTAACATTTATTATTGGTTTTTGACTGAAACGCATCTATATGAGATACAGACATTTGACTAAATTCTGCAACGAAATCGGCGTTAACGAAATAGTCAGAAGTGCGTCTTTCCAGTATTTGTGAATTCTCCAAAAAGTCACTAGAATGGACATTTTCTTATTTTGTCTACAAAAGTTGGCAAACTATTTCACACATTGAATATTTTTGGATGGCCATCCAAAACTGCTTGGCTTTTGCAATGGCCGGTAACACCCATTCAAATGTGCGTGAGGATCGGGCGATAATTACGACCTGCTGACAATTTTGAAGTTTTGTTGGTCCATTTCAACCGCTAAATATATGGCGATCATCTCCAAAAAGAGTAGGCTTCTATTCTGACCCTCATTTTATCCCCATGCAAAATTTCGTAAGGATCGGGCCATAAATGCGATCTGTATATGATATCCTGATATCCTAACTACTTAGTTTTGTTAGCTGTAGAAATATTACCAAATGTTTAATTCAAAATGAAAATATGCCAAAAATATGACAAAATTGAAAAAATATGAGAAAATTTTACAAAATCAATATTTTCATCTTTAGAAAGATATTTTTATGCGATTTTTTTAGACGTTTTTTCTTTCCTGCCAAGAGGCCATTCTGAATTAATGAGAACTGTCGAAATCAGTTCAGCCGTTCTCGACATATAAGAGATCTTTCAAACATATCTTCTTTAATAGACATATATATCGCACATATCTTGCTATACATTCGATTTGTTGGATCTTAACATCAATGTAAAGATCAGGAGTAACCTTGTCATGGCTTTGTGATTTCGCCGGGATTTAAAATATTCGCGGTTTAATGAAAATTTTTGAATTTTTTCAACAAAAAATATATGGTCTATTTTAGACGCTAAATATTATCCGATGACCACCCAAATTGGTAGGCTTCTTCCACGCCCTAAACTCTAGCTACATGCGAAATTCCGCGTCGATTGGTCTATAATTGCGGTCTGTATAGCTACTGCAAAATCCGACATTTTTTCAGTATTTGGTCCATTTCAACCCCTAAACCTTTGGCGATCATCTCCAAAAGAAATAGGGTTCTATTCTGACATTAACCCCACCTACATTTTAAATTTCGTGAAGATCGGGCCATAATTGCGACCTGTAGAGTGATTACAAATTAACATGGACAGACGGACAGACGGACAGACGGACGGACGGACATACATAGCTAGATCGACTCAGCTCGGCGAGCTAGGAAGATCCATATATACTTTCCTATATGGGAAACCAATATTTCGAGGTGTTACATAAATTCTGGCCCAATCAAACTTATAATACCCCCAACACATAGTGTTGTAGGGTATAAACATACCACAAAAAATTAAATATCTATATTTTACGAGTGTTCATTGAATAAACCAATTATTTAATTTCTACCACAAGATAGTCCTACTACATTATTGTGCTCCAAAAATTCCTTTTTATACCTTAGAACAACATGTGATGGGGGTATTATAAGTTTGATTGGGCCAACAATTATGTAACATGTCGAAATATTGGTCTCCGACATAAGAAACTATATATATATCTCCGTATCTCGCCGAGCTGTGTTGATCTAGACATGCATGTCCGTCCATCCGTCTATCCATGTTAATTTGAAATCACGCTACAGGTCGCAATTACGGAACCCAAACAGAAAATATATATTTTTTATAAAAACCTGTGAGTTTCCCCAGTTTCCCTGTCTAGAATCTTCAAATCAGGAATTTCACCAAAGTTCTTTTGCGTTCTTTTTAATAAATTTTGATAGTCTTCAGACTGAAAACAGGAAGAATTAAGGTGAATCGAAAAACACATAATTCCTTACGAAGTTAAAAATGAAGGTGGGGATATGGTCAGAATAGAAGCCTACTGTTTTGTGAAAGGATCGCAAAATATTTATGGATTGAAATGGACCAAAAACAGAAAAATGTCCTAATTTTGCTGTTGTTCTACAGGACACAATTCTAAACCATTCGAGACGGAATTTTAAGTAAGTAGGTTTGGTATAGACCCCATATAATTGCACCTCCCTACATTCGGTATTTTGATTTTAACGACATTATTCACCGAAATTGTTTTAAATTTCGTATTTGCAGTTTGTAAGGGTACTACATTCTGTGACAAGAAATTGTAAATGTAGGTTCACGTTCTCGTAGAGCCCCCCCATATAACGGTACCCCACTTTATTCGATATGTTGATTGATTATATAAGCTTCTCGAGTCATTCGAATTGTTTTAAATTTCGTATTTGAAAATCCTAATGGGCACTACAGCTTACTATAAAAAAATGCACATGAAGTCCTCGTCTTCGCATAGCCCCAATATAACGCTTTTATTTATTGAAAGGAGGGTATTAAATGGTAGATGGGTAGGTTAACATCAAGGGATTGGAACATGAAACACCTATTAACAAACATCAAAATATACCGATTCGGAAGTTATCATTACTTGAAGGTTATACGAAAAAATGGACCGATATAGCCCATCTATGAACTTGATTTAGTTTCAGTTCAAAACCAATAAGGAATGGTCAATATGATACCCTAAACCACTATGTGTATTTATTAGAGCTCCCGTAACAAGTACTTTACCCCTGGAAGAGAATTGTCTAAATAGGTCAAATTTCGCATTTAAAGTTCGTAATGGGTACAACAGCCTCTGAGAAAAAATTACTTATACAGGACCACATCTTCGAATAGCCCCTATATAACGGTTTTCCTTTGAGCGGTATTTTCGAATGATTGTTTATTTTTAGAAATATTTTAAGTTCCTTCAAAATGGTTGAGGGTAAAAGTTCTACCCAGCCGAACTTAGTTACTTTTTATGCCCTACAACACTATGTGTTGGGGGTATTATAAGTTTGATTGGGCCAAAAACTATGTAACACCTCGAAATATTGGTTTCCCACATAGGAAAGTATATATGGATCTTCCTATCTCGCCGAGCTGAGTTGATCTAGCTATGTATGTCCGTCCGTCCGTCTGTCCATGTTAATTTGTAATCACCCTACAGGTCGCAATTATGCCCCGATATTCACGAAATTGAAAATGGAGGTGGGACTAGGGTGGGACTATTTCTTTTGGAGATGATCGCATAATATTTGAAATGGACCAAAAACTGAAAAATATCCTGATTTTACAGTTGCTCTACAGGTCGCAATTATAGACCAATCGACGCGGAAGTTAGGAGCTTATGGCCGGGTAGAAGTCTACCAATTTTGATGGTCATCGGGTAGTATTTAGTGGGTGAAATAGACCATAATATTTGTGTTAAGTAAAAGTAAAATTTTCCATTAAACCGCGAATATTTTTAATCCCGGCAAAACCACAAGTAGACGAACAGGTGAATTCTGACTGTTACGTAGATGTCGGTATTAAATATATCGGATATATATTGCGAAATACATACAATGTGTACAAATATATAAAGGAAGGGGATGTTAGCTAGAATGCTTATATCTCAAGAATGGCTGGACCCATTTCGACAAATTTTATCAATTCAGAATGTCCTCTTGGCATAAAAAATAAAATCTAAAAAAATTGTATGAGAAAGATGTTAATATAGATTTTGTAGTAATTTGTGAAAAAAATTCTTTTTCTTATTTTTTAACGCATGCGATTTTTATACCCTCCACCATGCTATGGTGGAAATGGAAATAATGATCTTAGACCCAACAAAGTATATATTTTCTTGATCAGCGTAAAATTCTAAGACGATAAGCCATGTCCGTCTGTCTGTCTGTTGTAATCACGCTATCATTCGAACGAATTGAGATAGAAGGCTAAAATTTTGCAGACATATATATTTGCAAGTAGGCAGGTTAAGTTCGTAAATGGGCCATTTAGGTACACGTTTTCATACAGGCCCCATATAACGGTACCTCCCGATATTCGGTATTTGGGTGATTTTAGTGACATTATTCACCGGAATTGTTTCATATTTGGCATTTGAAGTTCGAAATGGATACTACAGCCTAAGGCAGAAATTTGTCTATGCAGGTCCACGTCTTCGTATAGACCCCATATAACCGTGCCTCCCAATATTCGCTATTTTGATGATTTTAGCGTCATTATTCACCGTAGTAGTTTCAAATTACGTATTTAGAGTTCGTAATGGGCACTACAGTCCGTGAAAGAAAATTGCGTATGCAGGTCCAGGTCTTCGTATAGGCCCTTTATATAAGTACCTCCTTATATTCGGTATTTTGACGATTTTAGGTACAATACTCACCGAAATTGTTTGAAATGTCGTATTTGAAGTTCGTAATGGAAGCTACAGCCTGTGACAGAAAATTGTCTATGCATTATTTTCATCATCAACATAATCAAATGGACCAAAAATGTTCATATGTTTGAAATTTATAAAATATATTTTATGCCTTGTATTTACGGTGGTTATTACCAAAGTGTAATTATGTGCAATATTATTTAATTATTCATTTTAACATCAAAGTTTTGTGTACAGTATCCCATGGTCGGTCCCTATTTCTCGTGTCTGTATTACACTTTCTTTTAAACCAACTTTTGGTAGATAACATACAAATGGCTATAGCAATGTAGTGGTGAAAGGTCTGATGATTTCAACTGACATATCTCCTCAACGGAAGATTTATCAAGTCGGTCATTTACACCCTAAAGGAACATTCGTCATATTTTTATGTTAAATGTCAATTTTCATTTTTGTTTTCTCCTCTTGTTTATTATTTGCCTCTGTCTGAGGAGAATACGTGAAGAGAACAAAAAAAATACTGGCAAACATGAAAGAAATAAATTGTTTAGCAATTAACTTAATCCAACAAAATAAAAAATGAATATGGCCTTCATTT